CTTTGTAAGAACTTGTTGCTGTGTTATAGTGTGTTACGTAATGCTGTGTAATGTTGCATTGCATATTTACCTGCAATAACCTGCTCTTGTAAAAAGTACATTTATTCTGTAAATGTTAAGAACATATTGTTTTATGTGTACTTATGGAGAAATGTATTTTGTTTCAGTTTCACACTTCGTATCATTACAATTCCTGCCAAATACAGCACCTGCCTGTTCCTTGGAGGAATGATGCTGAGGAGAGTTTAGCTGGCTGTTAATTTCAATATCCATACGTTGAAACGAGAACAGTACTGTAATCAATGAACAGCATTCTCACATAAGCGTTCCTCTGGTCCAGGTGTGAGAGGGCAGTGTGGATGGTGAGTGCTATGGCGTCGTCTGTGGACCTGTTTGCTCTGTAGGCAAACTGCAGGGGGTCCAGAGAGTCAGGGAGGGAGGAGGTGATGAAGGTTTTGACTAACCGCTCAAAGCACTTCACAATGATGGAGGTGAGTGCTACTGGGCGGTAGTCGTTGAGGCGAGTAATTTTTGTTATTTTGGGGACAGGAACGATGGTGGAGTGTTTGAAGCATGTGGGGACTACAGACTGCAGCAGGGACCTGTTGAAGATGTCTGTGAACACCTCTGCCAGCTGAACTGCACACACCCTGAGAACACGGCCAGGGATGCCATCAGGTCCAGGAGCCTTCTGTGGGTTAACCCTTTTAAAGGATTTGCACACTTTAGAGACGTCATTGTCTCCCTTTAGTCACTTATTAGCAACCGCTGTTTCTATGACATAGAGAAGCTTCAGACATTCATCACAAATGGGGTATCTACTGATGTATTTTATATCGTAGAAACATTTTTACATCTCTTGACTATAGACCTTATTTCAGGCATCTAACCAAAAAGACATCCAAAAAAATGTTGACTTCGATATGAGGCAACTGGAAGTGGAAACATTTTAGGATAGTTGCCTCTTAACATTTGTAACCAAAACAACTGCTGTTGGTTTTCCAGGTCAACAGTTAAACAGGAAGTCAGTTACTTAGCAGACTTATGCCGTGGAGCTCCTGGACCAGCTGCGCCCGGACCTCCACTCTCAGGGCCGTCAGCAGGAAGGTGAGGCGCAGGTCAAAGAAACGCACCTGGGCACAGAGCAGGGACACTCATTCACTATTTATCTTTCCCTGTTCAGAGTATGGCTGGATACCCGACCACAGTGATAATTTGACACAAATATGTTGCATTAAAAATTCTAACGTACCAAAACAAGAACCGAATGTCCTTCAACAGTTAGGTATCACAACATTTGTTTTGGTTTTTGTACCAAACTCAGGTATTGCATTAGCACCAGTGCTGAATCCCAATCTTCTAAAAGGTATGATCTTATTTTACCAATTTGAAATAGCAAAGATACATAATACTATAACGTTTCATGGCTATGTTTCAGACAAAATTGGAAAAGATAGGACAGACTTGAAGCAAGAGTCGGCACGTGTTGGCTTATTCAATATGTGCATTAACTACAACCTTACTCTAAACGTTGTCAAGTTAACTCTCAGAGTAATCATTCCCCCACCCACACATTATAACACATGTCTCACTGACGTCCATACCTCATGGTTCCAGATGGGATCATGACACTGCTTCAGCCTCTCTGCCACGCCCTTTATCAGCTGGAGATCTGCTGCGACCACCTGTCATCCATCATCAATACAGACATATTTGATAAATGATCACCAACCAAAACACTTGTTATTCTCTGACAAATGTATATAAATGTAGGTTTGAGGAGACAACGGCAGACTGACCTGTCCTGTCTGGTTGTGCAGCAGCAGGTTACAGATGGACTTCAGAGCCTCAGTAATCACTTCCTGGTCAGCGTTTTCTGAAGGGGGGGAGGCTTCCTTCCCCTCTTCATTGCATTCCTCTGCTGCCTCTCCCCTCTCTCCTTCCTCACCCTCAGCTAGGAATAGGAAGAAGGCAATTAACAGAGTAAATTTTTATTTATTAAAAGGTTGGGGCAAATGATAAACCGAGTAGCTTCTATATCTCAAGATTTATTTTAGTAATTGTAGAACAAATTTGTGCTGTGCCTTCATGACACTTTGAATCTTGTCTCCTGTCTCACCTTCTACAAAAACCCACAGAAATGATGAGCAACACACAGCAAATATCAATATAATATGGGGGATATGGGGGAACTTTATCCAAGTGTACAATTAATCCAAACCAAGTGTCAGCATTTGTCAAATCTGGAAGTTTGTTTCCAACCTGTTTCCAGATCTTCGCTATTACTGCTGTGAGTATAACACTTTTATTTTTTTTTAATGGCCAAAACTACAAACATAAGACTGAAAATGTATTTTTATCCTTTAATGCCACCAAATCTATTTTTGTGTTTGGACATTCAAAAATCACAGGAGCACCAGGATGAAGGCCTTCCAGTCTAAAACCTGGGACAGCTGTCTGGAATCACCTTGGCCCTCCTCCCCCTGGTTGTGGGCCCCCCCAGGACTGGACACGGCGATGCCGGCGAAGCGGGCCAGAGTGGACATGGCAGAGCGGCTGGTGAAGGGGTCCAGGCAGAGAGGGTCCCTGGACAGGATCCGGACTGTTTCCAGACAGGCCAGGTGACAGGAGGGCTGCAGGTCCCGGTTCAGGAACCCCATCACCAACTCCCCCAGGACCTGCATCACACAACGGATACATCAGGTCAGATTCAGTGTTATGAGAAATGATACACTAAGTGACCTCATTAGATAGTGACTGCACTTTTTATATTTAAAGTGGACCTATCATGCTATATTTGAATAATATAGTGTAGGACCATACCTATATAAGGCATATTTATACTTTTTATTTTTCAAAATACCAAACAGATCATGCATTTTAGCCATTCCTCATTTCGCTCAATTTAACACTGTCTTTGCATGGGCTGATTCTGTGAGAACAGCACCATCTACAAGCCTGGCATATGTACTACAGCGTCTCCAGCGCTTTCGAATGGCAATGTCCGTGGCTGTCTCCTCCTGATTGGTGGAGTTGGCCCAATAGCCGTAGTGCCACTTCTGTGACGTCACAGAAGTGTTCAAATCTGAATCAGTCTGTATCAGATCCGTTGCAGCCCCTTTTTAAGAGATTTGGGTATATAGGAAAATAGAGAGGGTTGTATTTTCTGACACTTGGTGAATTCCCTGGAACACCGGGGACACATATTCATGTATAAAAGATGTACAAAAGTGCATTTTGCATGATAGGTCACCTTTAAATACACTTTAAAATATGTTACTTTGCAAACCCTATTTCTGAATTGATCTCATCTTTATTCCCATTATAAATGTCAGTTTTAAGTTTTGACATTTCTATATATAAAGATTTAGCATTTTGAATGTGTTCACCAACGCAGCAGAAAGTGGAAGTTTTGACTTTACTTGGATTTTCAGTTCTGAATTGAGCTCATTGAATTCAATCAATTTGAATTATGGTTTTGAATACTGAGTGCTTACATTTGATTAATTTGTTATTTAATTTAATTGAAATGTCCAAATATGAAACTTTCTCCACATTTTAAATGGGGGCATTCAGACTAGGGCTGCTCAATTAATCGTATTTTAATCGCGATTACGATTAAGGCTTGCAACGATTACGAAAACAACATAATCGAAATAAAACGATTATTTTTTTATTATTATTACTTTTTTTTTTTTTTTATATATCTTTTTTTTTTTTCAGTTGAATTATACTTAAAGTTCAGGGTAATCAACTGTTAAAAACATACGGTTCACATTTCTCCAATAAATGGATGTTTTCAAAGTCAATGAATAATCACATTTAATAATCGCAATTACAATTATTGACCCAAATAATCGAGATTATGATTTTTGCCATAATCGAGCAGCCCTAATTCAGACCACGTACATTTTTTCTTAATTTAGTTTTTAAGCAAATATATTTCAGTGTTATTTCAAATCCATATTTATCTCACTTTGTTTCATTTAAGAAAATATATGTTAATTATGTATTCAGCTACAATTTAATGAATGACTAAATTAACCAGGTAATAGCTTGCTTAAAATACTTTAAACGCCCCATCTAATAGTAAATTACACAACTACACAAGAACTAGGCAATAGTGCTACTTTTCATTTGGATCACCAACCAGAATGAGGAAAATATCCATCAACAGAAAAATACCTTGACTAAACTTCAAAGGTAAAAGATCAGGAATAAAAGTTTGGAAGCTAAGGAATACCTTTCTGTCCTGCTCGTCTTCCTTGTTGAATGTGAAGCAGTGGTTCATCTGAAGAAGGAAAAGCAGAAGGCACAAATAAAGGTGTGAGATAAAGAGAAAGAGCCAAAACAGAAAAGGGGAAAGAGCAGTAAGGTCTGGGAAGAGAGGGAAAGCAGTCGCTGTAGCCAAGACACATCCGACCTGAGCCTTTGTTAACGCTAGTTTTTATGTTGTGGTTTTTCTGGTACATTAATAGTGTTAGGGTTGAGGTAGCCTACACAAAATGCAGACGGGCTGGCTGTGAGGCTCTGCAGTCTACATGTTAAAGAGTCTTTTGGGCAAGATACTGAACCCAAACTTACTATCATTATGGCTGTGCCCAAGGTGTGTGTTGTTTATCACTCCTGGGGAGCAGGTGGCTCCTTGTATGGTGACCTTCAGAAGTGTATAGATGTGTGTGTGTGAATAACTAAATGCTGTTTGTGTTGTGAAGTGTTTTGAGCAGTCGAGACTAGAAACCTTTATTTTAAACATAGAACTTATCTTACTTTTCTTTTTTAAACATCATAACATAAGTTCCTTAGGCTTTTCATTTAGGCAACATCTGAAAACCAAAGTGGTTCACAAAGCTGAGCCAGCAGTTCTCAAAGTTAACATTTTGAAAGAGTAAAAAAAGCTAATATAGCAGACGGACTGCTGCCAAGCTCAAGAATGGAGGGTAGTGCTGCATTCTGGAACATAACACTTTTCAAACGGTTGTTCCAGCGCACGTAACGTTATGCAGCGCTTTTTGTTTCACTTATGTATTTTACGTGTTCCTTCTGATGTCAGGACTGTCATACACAACATGGTGAATGGACCAGAGCAGGCTAACATCAGAGGAAAAGTGAGCATAGCAAGATATAACACAGCCTATTCCACACAGCCTGTAGCTCTAAGCTGCTCAGTGTTAAAGGGTTTAGTAGGGCAGGATTTGACCGGGCCGTAGGAGACTGTATTTGTGTATCAGAGAATCTAATCCAATTGTCTCTAAGATCAACGCCCACACAGCTGACCGGGCGGAGAGAAGCATGATGCAGAGCTCAGCTGGTTAGCAGACAGCCTGAAGCTCAGCTGGTGCTTAGTCAGATGAAGATTGAGGGCTCTATATTGGAAAACCTAGCGTAGCAGATTACACTGAAGTGCATGCTGCCCAAATACATTTTGGTAATTATACGGCCTGCTGCACCTGGGGCTCACTTAGTCACATGATGGGATCAGAAAAAAAATCATAAACATACATTATATACAGGCGTGTGAGACACATTCACACTGGGTCCCCTCGTAGCACAGAGCTCTCCCTGTCATGACCCAGGGTTCTTTATGGGAGTTAAAGATCTGATGGTCATCATCGGGTTTAATGCACACTTTCATTTTTCCTCACAATGACATATGCAATAATTATTCTAAATCTAGATCGTCTTGATTCTTTACTTTTTATTTTTCTTATGCTTTAATTCTTTATTTGTAGAGTTTATTTTAATTTTACATGCGAAAAATTACTACTTACAAACTGAGCCAAGTTCTTGCCTCTTTGGTTCTTAAACTGTGACATAAAACTACGAATTATCTACCAAGAAAAAAGTATTTCAGAAATAACACAAATAATTTTTGTCAGAATAATCTGTCACATTTGTATTCATATGACACTGGAGGTGGAGAAGACACGTCTCCCTCAGAGTTAAAAATCAGTTTTTTATTTTTTGTTTTGTATTCCTTAGTGCTTCCTAAAGGCTACATAGTTTTCCAAACGTTTGACACACATTGACACCTGAGAGAGGTTGTGGGCTAAAAAAAAGTATTTTCACCTTCTCTGCATGTCTCTTGGTTTATTTACAGTTGATATTCTCCTGAAAAAGAATGTTGTGAAAGCTAGGACAGAAAACTCAAAACTAATGGTGCGAATAAAACATAATCCATGTGTTAGGTCATTATTCAGGTTAACATTTATGTATATGTTTTTCTACAGTATATAATATCTTATGCCCTTGCTAGTTCAGGCATTAATGGATGCATGATTGTCACGAATCCTTTTCTTCATGTGTCTCGGATAAGTTTTGTCTTCTTTAAAATAATAACATTGCAAACCAATACATTATAGAGTAGTGCAGTGATGACGTTATATATATTTATCTCAGGACTGAAGATAAACGCAGGGACAGATGCCTCCAAAAGATTTCTGACGCTGCTCTGAGTGCTGGAGGTGTAACTGTTCTGCTTCCCAAAAGTGGTCAAATATGTGATACAGCTTTAAAACTGGCATAGTGATTCCAGGATAGGAAATGAAATACTTTACTTCAACATTTAAGTTTCAGTTTGAAATTCTTGAGTCTGGTGGAAACCAGTGTTAGGCTAAAAAAGGATTTTAATATCACCTGCAGTGAAAAAAAAGACCTGCTTTTTTTTCTTTTTTCGTTATAGCAGTTTTCCATCTCCTCTAATGTGTTCTATAGGTTTTAGTGCATGTAAATGGTCTGCAAAGGCCGCAATCCCTGTGTTCCCTGCAGAGGGAGTTTATCTCCCACACACAACATTAAAGCATGTGAATGACATGTTTACATGCTTTAATGTTCAAACAGCTCTTTATTTTTCTAGAGGAACAAAATACTAATATGAACCTGAACATTTGCACAATAGGGCCCCTTTAAGGTTGTAGAGGTGACAATATGCACGAGTCAAACAATTGTTTATTTTCCATAGATTTATCGCAATAATAACGTTGTTGTGATTCTTTGGGCCACCATAATTGTGTGGTTAAATATGATATTATGACAGCTCTACGGTTTCACCTGTCAAATTAGGGAAAACACATGTTGTGAACAATGTCTTGTTTCTATTCATTTCATTTAAGTAGCTTACTGTCAGTCCTGCACAACCCTGCGAATATTTTTGCACGTTTGTATACAAAGCTTTTAATATCTGGACAGCTCTCCACTTTTCGTAACAATAATGCACATAGTTAATCTTATTCAGAGTTTTTTTTTCATATTATACTATATATATATATTTTTTTCTTACAATGTATCTTCTTTAACAATGTTTATGTATCCACCATACACAATAAACCTGTTTCTGATTCTGATGCTTCTCTCTGATTCTGATTTTTACTAACAATATAGAAACAGAAACAGTGTGCCCATAAGCCCTGGTTCCCCTGAAGGCAGCACCATCCTCTGACCTGAAAGGTGTTGTATCTGACATAAAGTTAAGCTAGCCAGGCAGCATAAGCAGAACATATGTGTATGATAAACGTCATGCATGTATGCAGGGCGCACGTCACGTGATTACCTCCTGGTTGTAGCTCTGCAGAGCCGTCAGAGCTGAGTCCTGCTCTCCGATCTCCATTTGCTCTATGATGCTATTTAAATCCATCTTCATCGCCATGACGCTAGCAGCAGCCTCCTCCTGGTGTCAGAGCAGTGTGTGTGTCTCACAGAGTGTTCAGGACCAGCTGACTGCAGGAGGATGGATCCCGGGAACCGGACAGAAGCGATTAACGGACAGGCTTAGTGTAAACCGAGCGCTGCGTTCAGGTGTCTCAGGGAAACACGGAAGAAGCTAATCTTATAAACGGATTGGCATATTGTTTGGAAATGTAGTTGATTTTAGCTTCAGAGGGCATCTCCAATGTATTCATTTTACATTTAAATAGTAATGTAAAGAAGTTGTTTACTACATTATTTAATACACGCCTAAACCCCGCACCTTACCCTTGTGCTTTAAACCTAACACCTTATTCATATGTATACAACTTGTGTGTACCTTGCTTCACATTATGCAACAACTCTGACACGTAGGCCTACTATATGCAAATATACTGCAAAGTGCAACCTCATGCACTTTACTTTTCCTTGTATTGTGCATGCTGGATCACACATCCACCGTGTTTTCTTCCTGTATGTTCCGTGTACATGACATAAACTGCTCATAACCAATTGCCCCTTGCGGGATTAATAAAGTTGTTGATTGATTGATTGACATAGAGTAACCTCTTGTTATACAAATCTATGAAATGATAGTTAATACCTGACTAGAAAGCAGTGCTTGAATTGGGCCGGTACTCACCGGTACGCAGTACCGGCACTTCTGATTTTTACCCATGTGGTACCGGCACTTCTTACTGAGTACCGGCAAGGTGCCGGTACTCAGTAAAATGCCGGTACTCAGTAAAATGCCGGTACTCAGCCGCCGGCAATATACGTATATATTGTAAACGCAACGCGGCGCAAATGTGGGTCTGACTCTGCCTCACAGAGGGTGACTGGCTGTCTACATGACGTGGCCTGCCGACATTGCCACTTTCATACAGATCATACTAATGCCCTCCATTGGTCTCTGTATGTCATTCAAGCTCGGGAGGGTGTGTGTTGGTGTATGTGTGGCGCGAGCGAGCGAGAAAGCGCGCGCACCGGTTACGTGTATTGTTGTTAGCATCTGGTGCTAGCTAGCTGCGCTAACGGATATAAGGAGCTGTTTCAACAACAAGGTCAGGGAAAGTCCTTTGCTGTCAGACTGAGAGGCTGATAACTACAGCTCTGGTGAGGTAAATTACTCTCTGAGTCTTTAGATAGTTAACTTAGTTTAA